GTTCCCCCCCCCCCCCCCTCCTTCCCCCATGATTTGTGTTTATACTTTATGCACACATATTTTGTTAGTTTGAGTGCCCGTATGAATTACTAAAGAACTTGATTCTTTACCGTGTTCCTTAAACGTAAAGTAAAATAAGCAGTAAAGTAAACACAATAATTTTTACGTGAAAAATCACTCGGCTCAAAAAGTACAAAAACCACGACCTGCTATGTAGGATTTTCAACTTCAACTCCACTAGAGCAATGAGCCAAAATGTATCAACTACGAGACTGTAATTCAATACTCTCTAGTACGCCTACTACGACTATTTGATTCACAAGTTACTCTAACTTGTAAAGAAAACACTCACTCCAACTCACTAATTGTTTGTGACACTTTGATTACAATTCAATTTCCTAAAACACATTTCACTAGACTGACTCAAGAAGAACACAACCCTGATACTCGACTAGAGTGTACAAAATGCAGTTCTTCAGTTGATGTGTAAAAGGATAATCTCAGAAGTCCAAAATAGATAGTATTTAAACGCCTGGACTTCAAGATCTTCTAGGAGTCCTATGCATAGTCAGCTTCTCGTTTGATAGGACTCCTACTGTTCCAAGGACTCCACAAGTTTTGGGACTCTTGTCTCTTACTGATTTATCCATATCTTCTTGTGCAACAACCCTTATCTCATGTAGCAGTCTTCTTCCACCAAACTCGGACCTGAGTAACTTTAAGATAAAGTTACTGTCTTGCACAGACGTTCAATCATCAACCTGAGGAGCTGGTCCTTTACCTTGAGGAGCTAGTTCTTAGAATAGTTAAGCAGCTACGTTGAGGACCTGGTTCTTCGAACATTGCATCTAAACAAACTTTGTTAATCATCAAAATCTCAATACTCAATAAATTTTCCTTTTTTGATGATGACATACTTTGTACACACTAGAACCAAGTAATCATAACAAGTCGCAATCAATCAACATGTACATTACACCATAGGCATACATATTCATAGCAACACCCCCAACCTTATCTTCCCCTTTTTGGTATCATCAAAAAAAATTAAAAGATGTTAGACATTGAAGCACAATTAATGTAAAATTCAAGGCCATACAGGCTACAACACACGCTCAAGAATTATCATAGCAAACAATCTAGGCTGATGATCCAATAGTGTATGAAGCATTAAAGTAGTATAAGAGAAGTCATTTAGTAGTGCCAAAATAAGCCTAGGGCCTTGTCTTAAACCATTAGAACAAAATAAATTAAACATACTGTAACCTACTCAGACTAGAACAGAAAGAGAAAAAGGATTAAAGCATCATTGGGATAGCAAAAGAGACTAAGGACACTAGAAAGGAACAGGTTCATGGGTGAGATATAGAGGCGGTCAATGCTTTCACAAGAGTGGAAATCTGTTGGGCATGAGCTTCCCTATCTCTTCTGAGCTCTTCCCTAAGCTGCATGGTTTCTTTTCTCAGCTCATCATTGTCTTCATGAAGCTTGGCATTCTCCTCAACAGCCAACTCCAACCTCTTACTAAGCTCTGGTGCCTTGTTGCATCCAGGTAGAATAACAGATCGTGTTGGTCCTCTAGCCTTGATCTCCTCATAGACACACTGTTTGAGCGTAACTGCATTCAAACCATCATTGTGATTTCCATACTTAAGCTCAGGCAAGGCAATGTTGAGCTTGTCAAACAACTCAGTCAACATGAAGCCATAAGGCATAGCATGCCTAGGCTTAGAAGTGCATGCAGTTCTTGCCACATGCTGAATCATCATGCTGGGGAGATTAATAGGTCTACAAGTGTCAAGAAGTTCCATTACATCCATGTCTAACAGAGTGGCCTCATGCCTTCTCTCAGACCTCTGCAGAAAATAGGAATCGACAAAGTGAAACAATAACTTGTGGAAGGGGGTCATATCAGTCTTGTACACCTTCTGGGGGAGATCCAGTTCAAACTTTTGGGATAACTTCCTTGTGACCACAATTCCTATGTCAACATCATTGTCTATGGCTGATCACTTTTTCTTCAGGTAATTGTCAAATCCTAAATAGGAAATATTCATAAGCATCCCCAGCTCCTCAGCATCAAACTCCATTTCAAAACCCCTTACCTTACTTTTGACCACATTTCCATCAAATTTGAAGTTTGCGTAGAACTCCGCCACAACAGG